AAGACACTGTAGAGCGATCTTCGAAAGATTCATACACTTCGCTGGTCCAATGTATCTGACTACTGCAAATGACAATCTGACCGGGCCACGCAAGCACCCATTCCTCGCGCATGGCCTCAAAGTAAGCGATTATACTCTCCTCGGCTATGTCGCGCATTGAGATTACCATGAGTTCCTCTACTTGGCAAAGCCATCTCTCAACCATACCTTTCGCATCAGCAGGGTAAATCTTACTGCTCAGAGGCACGTATTCCTCTTCAGCCGATAGCATGCCAATAATCTCCTCGTCTTTGGTAAAGCGGAGTTTACTGATACCCTCAAAGCACTTTCGCAAATGAGGTTGAACTCGCTGCGGATCTTTGGTCTCGGATAGTATTTCCAAAAGTTCGTCGTTCGACAGGAAAAAGAATCGCGGGAAGAACAGACGCTTCTTCTCTAAGTAATCGCTCAGACCCTTCTGGATCTCCTCGAGCAGTGAGTTGCAGAGCTTGAATTCCTGCAACATGTTCGGCATTGCAGTAGCATCGATCACTCGTTTATTATCCATGACGTATAACATGATGTTGCGCCAGATCTTATCAATTTTACGAAAATTTCTCGACTCGGTCGGCATCTGACGCATGATGTCCTCACTGCTGAATATTGGCTCCAGATACATCCACGTGGCCTGACAAAGCAGCCACTGATCGATGATATCTTGCATCATTATCAGTTTCTCTTCCCACTGTTGCATTTCCTCTTCAAACGTCTTCACGAAAGGCGAACTGCGCATGGTTTGCGCCTTGAGTATATGATCATCCAGTAACATCTGTATGTCATCCACGGCGGTTAGTATGGCCACGCCAGTCTCGCGATAAAGAATTAACTCGAAGTATACTTCTTGCCATTCTTCCTTCATCTTCTGCAAATTTCGTTGCAGAGTGTATTCCTTTGTGGCCGCAGAAGCTATCTCTTCCAACTTAGCGATGTAAGCGGGTAGACCATACTCTATCATTTCCGATAGATTGCTAATGTCCGTTAATATTATCGTGACGTCGACAATTTTGCTGATTGCTTCCCAATGTCGGGCTTGCAGACCCGGCGTACAAATAATTTGCAATACTGGGATAAATTGTCGGAATTTCTCCACTTTACCGCGCACCATTTCGGCAACACGCCTCGCGCCCGGCACTTCCGTAAGCACACGCGACAATTTGTACAGAATTCGCCATGTGTTCTCAGTTTCCTCGCGTATTTGTTCGGCGTCTAAACCTATGAACGGACCGTAGAACCATTTATCATAGTTTCGGTGGAAATCTAAAGCAGTGTGCCAGAGTTTGTCGAAAGTATCCACTGTACTAGACATGGTCGGCAACTCCATATATGGGCTCAGCTCCATGTCAAGCAACCCCTCCTCTTCGTTGATCTCCTCAGCTTCTTTACGTATCTCCGCCATGGTTGCGGAGATGTGTTCGATCTCCTCCACGGCCTGCTCCATTTCTTCCATTGTAAGAACCGGTGGATCCTTCCGTTTAAACTGCTCGATCACCAGTTGCATCGTAGTTATCCTTTTCTCGAAGGTGTCTCGTCTCGTGCGAAGCAGCGTTTCCAAGAAATCTTTTCTCATGTTCAACCTGTTGCTTGCCAATTCCATCACAACCTCCATTTCCTTCGGCCAAGTAATGGTACGCGAGTTTAAGTGAATGTCCTCGTCTGAAAGTGGCTGGTGATCGAAGAGGAACAGTGTTAGCTCGATTGAACGAGCTAACCGTCTTTTCAAATTGAACATTGTTGTATCACGGCTCTCGCACAGATAATTGTACAGTTCGACCACCTGCTGCGTTGTTTCTGGCATCTTTGAGATATTCTCCGCTATCTCATCAAAGGTCGAACACAATTCGCGATTGTTGATTCGTAACTCATCCGCGAAGAAATTGCATATTCTACTTCGAAGCGTGTACAGAATTTCTCTCATTGTATCATTCACGGCACCGCAATCGATTTCGATCATGTTCAGTGGAATCTAATGTAAAAAAAATATCCAAATTATGTACATTATTATTAATTTCAATTACAAGATAAAAGTCATATAGCATTATAAATATTTTTCTTCTTCTGAAAATTCATTTATTGATTTTACACACACGCGATTTGAACGCGACGAAAACGATTTAAAAAAACTTTTTAAGTTTTTAGTTATATGAAAAAATTTTTTCGCAAAAAAATTCAAAATTTAATTTAAAAAAACTTACTTTACATCGAAACATAGAAATCTCTTTTCGCAGAGTGTCATATGCCTTTATCTGTTGCTCGAAGTCTCGCAACAATGGTACAGGCTCGAGTTTAAAAAAATTATCCATTTTTTTTTCAGCTATTCCGCTCGTAATATACAGCAAGTTTTCGTAACATTTGAGATAACTATCGGGACCGGTTATATGCTTAGCGATCACGTCTAATACATCGCTGATGACTTTCAATACCTGCAGTAATGAGGATGTGCGTGATTAACATTTATCAACTGTTTGCACCGGACAGAATTTTATATTATAATATAATAATTACCGTATCTTCAAAGCGCGAGATGGGGAATAGATAACTTGTCTGCTTTAATTCCGGAAATAGAATAGTTTCAATTTTAGGTATTGTAGCGCCCACCTCAATGATCTTGTCGAAACATCGCGAGATCGTAGTGTGCAATTCCAGGATGCTCGGGCTGCAGCGTAATTTCGTCGTGAAGAGTTCCGGTTCCACTTTCACTGTTATGAAAGGAGTTCTACAATGTAATGTGTATCATGTATATTTGAATTCATTAATAAATTTTCAAAAGGTATTCACTTTTGTATGTCAGGAACAAAAATCATCGATTCTTACTCAAGAAACATGAGCTCCTTATAATCTCCTTCGAATGCATTGCCAGCTTTGTACCGCATGAAGAAGTCTCTGACATCTTCCAGCGTTTCCGTTATCGTAATTCGCAGTTGCTTTGATAATAGGGAATTGACGCTGCGAAAATATTTTTCGATCATTGCGGTAGACGCATCCGGCCGCATCTCGAAGTATTGCGACCAAGCATATCTCTTTTCAAAAAAAATTTCTGCCACGTCGGCCAACCATACTTTAACGAAAACATTGGTGGCAGCGGCGCATAGGGCATTCAATTTCGGTTCGATTTCCGCAGCCGGAACTGGAAATGTGCCGAAATCTTGCATGCGAATGATTCTTATTTGACGATATCTAAAATAAGATTCATTAGTTTAGCAAGAAAAATAAAGATTATTTTCAATTAAATGTGTTTAAAAGATAAAAAAATTCTTTTTTTTTCAGCTGGCTCATGATCTTACTTTAAAAACCATAGATCGCGGATGTCCCTCAATATCGTATTTCCGATAAAAAGACAGTGTCGCATTGAATGACCTGCTGTAACTTTGGATTGATGCCAAGGTACTGGTGAACGAATGCACAAAACGGGAAATTCGATAGGCAGGATTTCGATAGATAAACGTTTCCGTTCATCGGAATCCATTAGAATATAATCCACTATTGCGGAACGAAGACTGTGCTTATAATCATCGATTATTTCCGGTTCCAAGTTTTTTGTTATCTTATCAAAACTAGAAAATACATATTTCTATTTAATAAAGCCATCCTATGAACTTATCGCAGTTGTTAAAATGCGCAGTATATTTATAAAAATGATTTAAACTATTTTAATTTTGCAACACATTGATGGTCAGGGCCGTTCTTCATTATTTAAATATGAGAAAAACATACTCTTCACGTTCTTGCAATTTACCAACGATACGTCTCTTTGCTGCATCAATATTAGCATAATCGTATGGTTGTAAATGATGATCGCTTATGCAGTAATCTCTGAGATAAACTATTTTAGCAACATCCTCGACTGTGACTATTCGCCTTTGTTCTTTATCAATTGCTGCTGTTAATTCGGTCAATTGTTCTTCGACGGATTTCGGAATTTCAGCCTCGACGTAAGGTACAATCTACAATGTGATGCTATTTCTGCTATATATTTGTCAGATCAATTAAGAAAGAGATTCATATATTTTTTTCAAAGTACTTGTCTGTGTGAGATTTACAAAAAAAATATTTCTTATTATACCTCCCGATCCAATTTTCTTTTCATTATCTTCCCTTCATGTATGGACAACTCTTTCCTCTTTAAGGCTCTCCCTTTGCGACTCTTTTTCCGCAACCACGTGCCATCTGCTAAATCTCTCAAACTAACTATATTTCCAGGCAGGGAATCGCGTTTCTTCTCCGCCGCAGCAACGACTCTTCGTTGAACTTCTTTGTTGTGTCGTTCTATAAGAATGCGAGGCGGAGTCGCAAGCACTTTGTCAGCACTGAGAGGATACCATTGTGCAGGTTTGACTTCGCGTTTCAAGATTCTGGCCCGATGATGATATGCTCCGGGTGTAAAGATACTGCCTATACTATCGGTAGGTTTCACGTAACTGTGCCAGTGTTTGTATGGAACAGTTTTTGTCCATGAAGACTCTTGTATTAATTTTGGTTTCTTCTCGAATTGCAATGCTTTCGATGTTCCTGGCAATGAATAATCCACATGTTGTGCTACTGTTGCATTTACCTTGTCCAAAGTTCCACATATTTCCTTTTCTTCAGCCATATCCTTGTCACTCAAACTAACATATTAAAGATGCAAAATTATCCGTAAGAAACGACAAGCAGCTTCTCTGATCGTTGATAACCATTAACAGGTATCGCAAATAATGTTTTGCATTTTTATCGTATATGCCATTGTTCGATACTTCTATTCTTAGAAAATGTATAAAAATAAATTGTCGGCAGGACTAAGTATGTATCTATACCTCTCAATATGCAACTAATGAATCTAAGATCTAAAAAAAAGTGTCAAATAACAAACATATATGAAGTTATGCCTTCTTAGCTCATACCTAATATGTTACATATATTTATATCACGTTACTATGACAACGACGCGGGAGTTATTGGAAAAGATATAAACTCGTAGAAATTTACGAATATTCTATATATGCCATAATATAAAAATATAAAATATCTGTTCATACATATATATAGAGAGTATATACTTTCCCCCCTCAATTTTATAAATATATTGTTACACAAATATTTACGCGTATTTTTATACTATCATAAAAATTTCTTATATTAAAAATATATTCTTATTTATCACATACACAAGTGGCACAATTTTAAACGTTTAAATTTGTAAAAGCAAAAACATTTTAAAATAATACCTCTATAAGCATAAATATAACTATGAAAAAATATCCTATCAATTTCTAATGTATGCTTTGGCAATTTGCCATCAAATTGTCAATTAGTATATATATTATTATCTATAATCTCTCTTCAAAACTGGTCGATGGTAAATTACGTCGGCGAGACTGTATAATTTCTTCATTTCCATGATTTTGCTCAGAATTAGCACATTGGATAAGATTAATCTCACTATGAACGAAAGCATCTAATAAAAATGAAAATATATATAATTTGTTATCAATAACTATATAAATATAATCATAACTTACATAGTGACTTACGTTCGTTGGCAAATTTAGTGAAACTTTTCATGAGAAATTGCTTATCTTGAGACTGCAGAAGAAGCATGTTGGACAAAATTTGCAACATTTCTTTACTCGCTTGTGTTTTTGCTCGCAAACAGTACACTGTAATACTTCAAGAAAAATAATGAATAAATATCTGTACCTTATTTTATATAACAATATGAATATATATGGTACCATGATGATACCAGTGAGATATTTACCACATGCCGACCAATATTGCAGCACCAGTTACCGGCCTCGCAAGTTCTGACACAACACTCCAAAATGTGCTATCTCTTTTTAACGATAACATCCCATCGACGATAAAATCCCAAGTGTGAGAATAATTTCTGAACGGTCCACAGTCGTCATTTTCCACATTCGTAATGATATATCCTATTGTAAGCAACACGACGATCATGTCAATAAATGCAAGAGCCAAGAACAGAGTTTGCGTTTGCGCCGCTCGCCAAAACTGCGACGACTGTTGATAGCATTTTTTCAACTCGTATCTCTTTATATAAAACGTGAAGATCAACTTTATCATAATTATAAGAGACATTAGCGGACTAAAATAGAAACTCATCCAAAAGAGTGTCTGATTGTATATAAGATTCAATGTATTGCGAGCGACATCAAATTCCGGTCTGCCGATTTTCGTCGACGACCTCTTATACAACATGGAACGTGTAAATTGCAAACATATCCCGAATATGGAAGCGATGAAATCCACTATGATAAGTCGATAAATTTTTTCTCCTAAGTCCGTTTGCCAACAATGTGATGTACTGTTGATTATCCAGAAGGCAAACAAGGTACCAATTATTATCGCAGCAACTGTGTGATTCCTAATAATTGTTATGTAAAATTCCGTGCGTTTATTGTTATAGTGTTCCAGTGATGCCTAAAGAGAGAAATATTAATATTATAATTTGTACTATATAGTTGCACATTTTATTATAATTTAATTAAGATTATTTTTATAATAGAGAAAATGTAGATACTCACTAAATAGGAAATAATTGCTGGAAAGATATGAATCATAATGGTAATGATTATTGGTACAATCATCACTGAAATGTTTCTGGATGCTCCTATCTCATAATGTCGTAATAGTAGCCAAACAAATGCACCAGCACCACAAATCATAAACATAATAATAGTTGTTACACTAAGTTGCATTATAATTAGCAAAAATTTGTCAAGCCAATGCAAACGCGCGTGCTGTCTCGTTTCTGCCAACATTTCCTCCAATTCTTTGTAAATAGATGCTGATTGTAAAGTGGCAGTTTTTGGTAAAGATATGCTAAAGTCCCATCCACAAAATATTTTGTTACTATATAAATCGTGCACTTTTCCATGTGTTTCAATATAAGATTTTCTATAGGAAGATATAATTCTGAAAAAGAATGTATTATTATTGTTATCACAAATGGTGAAAGAATATTCAAAGCTTAATATTTTAGTGTTTAAAATGATTAAATTTTATTACATACTTAACAGAAAGTATAATAAAAATAACTGTGTAACAAAAAAGCAGCATTAGGAAATAGGCAAATGGAATGCTATATTTGGTCCCAAATAATGTGTTTACTGTGCCATTGGAATAAAAACCATAATACATTATTGTGTGAGAGAAAAAGCCCTGCAAACCAAGATGTTGTGATATGTGCATCATATTTAAAATAAAACATGCTACTTATAATATAATTGCACTTACACTGCCTGTTAAGAAGTCTAATACTTTAACATTGTTTGGTATATGTGTTTGATTCAATGATTGTGGTAGTACAATAAAAAATATGCTGTGGACATAAACGATTCATTAAATTTTTTTTTCCTTTTTTCTTTTAATATAAGAGAGAAACACATATAAAATACTATTTTTATTAATACCAAACAGCAATCAAAATTATAATTGTTTTCTCAAAAATCCTATCTTTTAATTTCAAATAATTTTAAAATAGTTCAAACTTGTTATTTATATTAATATACTTTTATTACAATCCTATGAAATAAAAAAGCATATACCTTAAAATGCAGGAAATTATGTTGAGAAAAAACAACCATCTCAAAAATTTAAAATATGTTGCTACACCATTTCCATTGTGACTTTCAATGGTTTTTATTGTTTGATGCCACAATTTCATTGTCAACAAGTTGTTCTGCATTATCACCCAAATCTGTGTTCAAACAATTTAATTCTATTTGGTTTATTTATTTTATAACAAAAATAATGACTTCAAAAATTAGCATTATTACCTTTGCAAATTTTAAACTAATGTTATATTTGACCCATTTCCAATAACTAATCGATTTTTTCTTTGACTTTCGATTAATAATCGCCAATAGCTGTGACTTAACAGATCTCTTTACAGTGAGGCATTGTGGCATTGCTCTCAATGTTTCCATCCTGAATCGCTCTGATGTAAGATCATTCTGCATAAATTTATTACTTGATTGCAGATGATTAGCAATTGCATTAGCACATTCTTCATTAGACAATTGATGACTGTGCATTCTTAAAGTAGCATACGGAATGATAGCATTCAGAGCATTTGATATTCTGTTTGTTTCATTCTCTCCTGGAAGATATAATATTCTAATAAATAAAATTAAATTAAGTATAGGGCAATACGAGCCACGCGCAGTACTTGGGGCGCAAAAAAACTGTTAACTATTTTTTACTACCAATTGTAAGTGACCCCGTTTTTTGATTGTAATTTTTTATTAAGGTCTCTTTTGTCAATTTTATGTTCTTGACTCCATCTTTTGCCTTTCTATAGGCATCAAAAAATCTTTTCTTACTTCCCGGTCTTCCAACTGTGGAGCGTAACTGATTTAAGATGCGTATATTACAATGGAAGTTAAGCCGAATAGTTTTATATCTGACATAAGAGACTACACATTTATTTATTTTATTTATTTATTTATTTTCACCAATTTTATTTGTATGACTGCCTTAACCTATTTATTTTTATTTCTTTGAAATTTATTTATAATGCACTGAAGATGGCCCGAAGAATGGGTCCGAAACGTACTTTGTGCTGTTTACCAATAACTTGAATAAATCTTTTTTTGCGCCCCAAGTACTGCGCGTGGCTGGTATTGCCCTATACTTAATTTAATTTTATTTATTTTTATATTTATTAGAGCCTATTATATCTTATATAATATTCTATTTTGTGTTTATTTGCATTAACAATTTTGAAAATCAGACACTTATAAGCTGTACTTACGTGCAAATTTAATTGGCAATAGTTGCTGCATTTGGATATATTGATCAGATGTGGAATGTTTTACTTTTTGAATTACTGGAGACATTTCTATGTAATTAATATATAATGTTTTTTTCAACTGCGTTCTCTAGAACAAAAAAAAAAAAAGAAATTTTATAAGGGTGCATTATAAAATATTACTTGTATGTTGTAAAATATACTCACTTTTTGTCAAAATATGTATATTATTCTTGTAAAAAAATAGCAGCATTGTTCAACATTCAACATGTTCAATCATTCTTCACAATAGCCACTCTTAATATTAGTAATGAAAAGAAATATTAAATATAGGTTTTTCTACACCATAATTTCTGGAAATGATTCGATACAGATATGCAATTAGATAAAACACATCGATGTAAAGCAGAAAATTTACATAGTAATGGATAATGACCATATATGGTTATAATTTTCTTCCAAAATATCTACTCTATAAAATTTAATTTTGGAGATGCAAAGTGTGTGTGTATATAAAATCAGATATCTATTTACATACCGTTTGTTCCATATATTCTATCATATCCAGTGAATTCTATAGTATAATATAAAGTTTACTGATCATATTTTATATGTCATTTCGGTATCATTCGACATCTTTTTGTCCAATTCCAATGACACATCAATCAACATCAATAAAGTTTCATGAGAATCTCTCTCTACGACTTTTTAAAATTTATAATCGTAATCTCTTGTGTTTGAATAAATAATAGCTTTTTTTATTAAACACGATCTAATAATGCTAGTGTTAAAAAAAAAATTATATATACATATGATAATTTTATTGGTTTTCTAACCTAGCTAATTTTTCTTCACACATGAATCTTTAAAAATCTCTAAAAATATAATTTTACGCTAAGAATATATCTTAAGAAAAGAACCGAATATGCTAAATGGATTTCTCTACGATTATATTTGATCTTTGGTTTTAAGGAGATTTAAAGTAATTTATTCAATTAATTTATCATTTGCATAGGGATTTGGATATAAATTTGAATCTCTTCGCGCCGTGATCCATATATACATATTCATATATAGAGCATGATCGAATTTTTATTTATACAGATCCAATTTGATACTGAACTTATAAATATGACAAAATATTTCAACATACAAAAATATCTTCAAAACAGTTTGAAAAATTCTTTTAAAAATCTCCACTTTTTTATAATCTAAAATATATGCATGTATATGCGTGTAAAGGCTGGATAATTTAATACTAATTAAATCTAAACTATTATATATA